GTTAATTTTGCCTAAAATTTTTTTATTGGTTTCCATGCAAGCATTAGACTATAATTCTACTATCTGACCAAGTTTGAACGAAAAATGTTGAAAACTCGTATTTAATAAAATACATTTCGCTGCAATAAGAAAAACATTGAAAATGTAATATTCAAATTCAATTTTCTCCCGAAGAATTTTACGGCAATTACTGATTTTCAAACGAGTTGTTCTCCTGCGGGTTTTAACCAATTTTTCTCAAATTTTCACAGGACATAGCTAAAGACGTCAGTTTCAAAATTGTGTTCGGCTTTTTCTTAGTTTTGGATATTTTAATAATAAAGAGCAATTCACTCAAATAATTCAGAAATATATTGCAGTCGTCAAAGAAATCGCCATATCAGCGGAATGACGAAATAAACAAAAATTTCCGAACACGATTTTTTAGAACAACTATTTTACTGTATAAAAATGATATTTTCATAAATATAACTTAAAACCAGCAGGAGCACAACTCAAAAGCGTAACGGTACCGCGATTTAAGATTTTCCTGAATAATTCTTATATTATTTTATTGTTTTGTTTGTTAATTTTACAACTTTACCATATTGTGCATACACTGGCGAACATTTGGTGAAAATTTGATTCAAATCGGACTGATATTGAGCGCGCAGTAGCGATTTTCCGCAAAACGCCAAAAAGGGTGTTCTGTAACCTTAAGCAACTTGATTTAAGTAAAGCAACCGGATTAGATGGCATCTCATCATTTTTTTTGAGATTATCCAATCGAATAATAGCTTAAATTATTCTTTCCATTTGCTGAAATTTAAGCATCAGCTGCGGAATATTCCCTGAAAAGTGGAAAAAGGCTAAGCTAATCCCCATCCACAAGTCAGAGGAAACAACTAATAGAGCAAATTATCGGTCTATTTCTATTCTTGCTATTCTTTCTAAAGTCTTAGAGACTCATGTTTGCAAGGCATATACATAAGTTATCTAACGGTCAATTCCGTTCTATCACCAGTCCAATTTGGTTTTCGACCAAAGTATTCATGTCTTTCCTCACTTACAATAACCATATTAACAATATTGAGAAAGGAGAAATTAATGGATTATAATTAATGCTTGGTTTCTCCAAAGCGTTCGATATTTTACCACAATATTTTATTACAAAAAATTGGTTTATATGGAATTACTGAAACTAGTGGCAAGTGGTTCGCCTCATATACCTAACCAACCGCACTCAGCAGGTCCATCTAAATGATCATTTGACCAGCCATTAATTAATAATACTGGTGTTCCCCAGGGATCTATTCTGGGCCCTCTTTTGTTTCTAATCTATATTAACGATTTGCCGCAATTTCTCGTGTACTCTGATCCAAATCTTTTTGCTGATGACACTACACTTTTAGAACATAATTCTGACTTAACTGTAATTCAAGAGAGCCTCTCCGAGGATCTGACTAATGTCTCTCAGTGGACTTCGAGTAATCGAATGATATTAGGACTTACACTTGATAGCCACCTTGTGTGGGTTAATCAAATTGATAAGATATATTGCAAGATTGACTCAAGAGTGTTTCTGTTCAAACGAATCCGTGAAGCTCTTCCTTTTGACTCCAGAATCAAATTTTATTACGTCCTAATTTACCCTCATTTTACATATGGTATAACTATCTGGGGTAATGCTTCAAATGAGCTGCTCCATCCGTTATTAAAGTTGCAGAAACGGGCAGTGCGTCTAATATTAAATGAAAGTGTGTGCACGCCATCTGTTGTTAGTTTTCGTAAATTGAAATGGATTAATTCCAATTCATAATATTATAAACCTCCGTAAGATCTTACGACTTACTTGTTGTTGAAAGTTTGCGTGACGAAGGACCCACTGAACTTCGTAATCTCAAAAGGAAATTGAAATAATTCTTCCTTGACCTCAATGTCGGGCTCAACAATCATGTTGACAAACTTGAACAATTCTCCTGTCCTGCATGTAAAAATTTATCAAAATGCCAATGTTATAGTCCAAACTAATTATTATATTATATCATGTTCTATTTCTCCCGGCTTAAACTTTGTAAATATATATATATATATATATATATATATATATATATATATATATATATATATATATATATATATATATATTTCCTTTTTATTGATTATGTACTTGATTAATAAATGTAGTAGTGCGTGAGGGCCATTAGGAAGAATACCGTTTAGGTAATAATGCTGTTCAACCCTTTGTAAATATTGATTTAATAATAATAATAAAAAGCAGGAGGATTTATATATTGGGGGGAATAAACGCGGGGAAACAAGTGAAAACTGGTTGACAAGCCAAATTCAGATCTTATTGGGTCGACTTTAACGGCTTGTTTCTTGTTGCTTATTTCGACTTATAAAGATTTTTGTCAGTGTGTCTTTTTGTGCCCACAACGAAAGCTGTAAACGAGTATATTGTAAAAACGACCGGTTTTTCTCTCGTTTTTTTTTTGTGTGGAAAATGTGCCGTAGCGATGGTGTTTATCCCGAAGCGAAAGAGAGTATATCTTGCAGAGATTTTAACGTCAATGTATAGGTTATTCCGTGAACAATCAA